ATTTAATTTTATAACCTACAATCAGTTACCTCCTCAATTATTGTATCACCGAACTAACCGCACTGAAATCAATGTTCAAGTATCCTTTACTACACATGACTAATTTTACTATATATCTTAACAATTTCAATTATGCTATCTATAATTATATCTTTCACCGTTCTTTCATTGACCGTCAACAAAGAGAATAAATACTATACCTTGAGCCGTATATAACACTGCTTCATAGCCGAAATTATACCAAAGCACGTGGTATGTTTACATCGCCGAGCTTTGTTAATCACTGTTCTTAATCATAAGCATTGTTGTTACAGATGACATTTAATTGACATATACGTTTTTAAGGTTGATTTCAAATCAGTTGCAAATATAAAGAAAGTTGTATTACATTTCTTATTTGTAATGCAATTTAATAGATAAAAACAAAATTGAATGGAGAGCTGTGATTAAACTAATTAAATTCAATATATTGCTGTGATTTTAATTTCATTTACCACATAAACTCAAGTGTAGATGTGTAATAAATTCGTTTTATATATAAAAACCCGATATATCAATGATAATAGATCAAACTAGAGTTTCGCATAATAATATTTCATTCAACTCGTTTTATAAATTTAGCTGTTACAATTTCCTTTATTTAATGAACGACAAATTAATGGATAACCGTTATCAGATTTATATTCATTAAGGCTGTTGACTTTTGAAAGTGCCGAAAGTTCAATTAGGGCGTTATTAAATTGTTTACTAACACCTGGATCTTTCAACGATGCATTACAGAAAGTCAGCGTGGTGTGTTTGCTATTGTGATACTATTGCTATTAAATATAAAACAGTTAAAAGTAACCGTATTAATGATACAAAGTATCAAACCGTGTAAGAAGTATTATAGCAGATTTTGGCAGTTAATTTGGCAATTTCGAGATTTGAGAGCACACACATACTTTTTTTCTTCATCATTCATATTAATAAAAGCAGCACTGATATCCTTGGCTTCTAAGAAGTTGGTAAGCAGGACATTGTGTTAACACATGCATTTCTGTTTCAACATTTTGTTTACAAATTGGACTGATCCTGATACTAATTCTGATACTGATTCGTTCGTTCGTTCATCCATTCGTTCGTTCATTCATTCATTCATTCATTCATTCATTCATTCATTCATTCATTCATTCATTCATTCATTTATTTATTTATTGTTTCATTCATTCATTCATTTATTCCTTCATTCATTCATTTATTCATTTATTTTTTCAGTTTCTTATCTATTTATCTGCAAATAAAAAAATGTATCAGCACTATCAAAATTAAATTATATTATGCCAGCAGAATTGAAGGGAACTTGATTTTTAGAATGAAAGGCATTTTAAGAGCTTATATTTTGTATATATTTCAAATGTATTTATTTCGTAAAATTGACAAAAATGTATCCTTTCATAGAAATGATATAATCAAAATAAAATATTTAAACAGAAAATATGAATAAAAATAATGTAAATGCTGCAATGTTAGTATTTCAAGTATGATCGACTGCGATTGTACGGTGTTTCAATTATTAAAAAGTAATTGCACAATTGTGAACCTTCCTTAAAGTTAGGAGAGGTAGATTTAAAACACAACACAAATATGTTGCATGGGATATTTTTAATACATTATGTGCTCACATCCAATAAGTTTCATACGTTTGTATTGATATTATGCATAAAAACTAGTGTGTTTATTCCTTACACGTGTATGCAAGATTTAATTTCTTAGATGCCAATTATTTGTTACAATATTAATAATTCATAGAATGTTAATATATAAAGTTATACATGAGTGCATAAACCTCATTGTGAAATGAAAAAAGCTATACATAATATATACATGTTCATCTAAAGGCAACAGTCACGGACATTTTAAAACTATATTTCAAATATTTATACCGATATATCAAACTTATTTTAAAGTGTATCACTAATGAAAACTTTAAGATACATTTTTGTACATAGTATACAATCATTTTGTATAAAGATGAATATCTCATAAAATCGCTGGGGTTAAACAGGCTGTTTTCGTTAAGAAATACGAATCGTAGCAAAAACTTGTGAAAATTAACTTTTTTGAGCAGGTTTTCAAATATTGTCTGAAAAGTGCGTTTCAGAGAGTTGTCCCGTACTTCATTGCAGTGTTGTTACATATTCCGTATCACTGAGTCCAGCACTGTTAAGTGTTGAGAATTGATTACCGCTCAGGCCGGTGTGCTATACGGGCGTGAGGGATGTTGCACCTTTTCATTATCCATGTATTTTTGCTGTTTTAAAATGCTTCCGTTGGGTAACTTTTACCAGACATTCATACTGTATGTCATTTATCAATATCAAGTGTGGACCAGTTTCGAGTCTTTTAGCTACGTAATGAGTGCACTTAATGTCCTCTGTATTATGTAATTTACTATGTTCTGTCTTTTCTGAAATAAGTTGACATTTTGGGCAATTCTATATGGAGATTACAGGCATTATTATTTATCAGTATGTCAATATTTTGCATATAGTATGTTGAGTCATAAAAACATAACACAATTGAGTAAAATTTGAGTAAATCCGATAAAGTATTGTTATGCTGACTAGATTTTGACATGATAGTAAGCTAGGTCAAATAGTCAATAATTATGAGACGATAGAGTAAAATTTTAAAATGTCACCGTCGTCCAGCAAACAATATGTTCGTTTACTCACTGTCATTCGTAGGCAATAGTAACATTACGTTAATACTGCATTGTCCATTTTTATTTATTAAAAAATAAACAACAAATTTTATCATGAACCTTAAATGATAATCGGATAAAGAAAAGTTTATTATATTACTATATTTGATGAAGCAACATTCATTTAAAGAAGATTTAGTATTAAACATATTTGATATGTCAACAGTGTCCAAGAGAACTCAAACTATATACTTATATGATTGTAGTCATATTCTTGTTACATTCTCATCCACATTGCCTTAAATTATACGTTTAGTAGATAATGTTTATTGAGGCATGTGCAGACACACTTGTAGTAGATAAAATGTGTTATGACCTTGTCGCGTTTCGATATATATTATCAGAATATTTGAATACATCCTTATCATCTCGTTAAAGAAAATGTTTCATTTATACCCTAAATGCGTGCTTAAACTAAACACATGTGTCACTGTTGTAATTACTGTGTTAAAAGATACGATAGTGCTATCTTTGCCATCAGAATAACAATAAAACCGTAGACATAAATTAACATATAAAACTGTCCTATAGACACCTAATCATTTGGCTTGTCATGTTTATATGTTCAAGATATATCTGTTTATGTCACATCAAATGATATCTTCGTATTTTTGTATAATCAGTTGCACAATAATTTAAGTCAATGATTGCTTGGTGTTCAGAAAAAAAGGTTGACACGTATATGAAAACGTAATTGAATATATTTGTAGAATACTAAATGCGCATGTATTAGTTAACTGCTCTCCAGGCACCGCAATGTCTGTCTATGATAAAATAAGACATGTTTTTGCGGTGTTCTAGTTTCGATTACAAGGAAAATGCTTTTACTTTTTCCTGTGATACAAAAGAGAGAAAAAATTGCGAAACACAATTCAGACATGCCTTTCGATACTCTTTCTATTACATAATAACAGTATTATAAGGTAACACAATTAATTTCTTAGAAACGTTTCTGTTTATATTGTTAGCTTGCTGTCTTGTTTCTGTGTGTATTCTATACATTGTAGAATACAAAAGGAACAGTAACAGGAAAATGCAATTACAATCGCATGATCAAATCAGATAATAATATTAACTTCAGATTCCAAACCAGATGCTGGTCTATGCGTTGTATAACAAATAATCCTGGTTAATGTCGCAAGCTTACATTTTTCTGACAACTGCATGAACAATTTACTATGTAACCAACAAGGCGTAAAATGCCAAAAGAAGTGCAATCTCTTTAAGTTTTATTCTTATCAATATAACAGAAAGTTGTATTTATTGTAAAATAAATTAAAACAAAAGCAAATCGCATACACTACATGTTTAATAGAACATTTTAAGCACAACTATTTTCGGAAATATGTTGCACTTGACCAATTCTTTTACTGTTTTGATTTCTAACTTTATTTAAATGAGAGTGTATTTACTTTTGGTCGGGTCAAATTAAATGACAAACACAATTTTGCACATTATGCCTCGGGACTAAATTGAGAAAAGGCGAACATGCAATTATTAAGAATAATATCTGTTTTAGAGCAAGTTAGATTATTCTCATCTAAAAAGGTAGCGGTAAATAATAAATAATTTGTTCCCCTGAAAGAAGCAAATTATAAGCAAAGCAGTATTTTGACTTTCATACAAAATACTTAATCACTATATATAACTGTACATATTGCTAAAAAGCAACACAAGCAAAATATGGTTAAGGTACTTTGCCGATAACTCTTTTTTGAAACTTTAGCAATACATCTAAAGAAAAAAAAATGCAAAATGTAAACGAAATAACTTTTAAGACATAATGCCCCTTTATTGTATGTAGCTGTTTTTCCAGAATACTTATTCTTATTGTAAAAAGCAACAAAAGCAAAATATGGTTAATGTAGATTGTCGATAACTCCTTATTGAAACTATACATCTTAACCCATTTGTGCCGGAATTTTATTTTTATATAAGAAATGTATAAAACATATAGTAACCATATAGTTATAACATATATCCGTTTATTTTTCAAATATAAGTACTGTATTTTTTATTTTAGTGTTTTAATATTTTGTCTACAAAAGTAGACAACAGGCGCAAATGGGTATATGTAAAACACATATAGAATATATGTCCAGATAACCTATTGTTGGTTTATTTGATAACTTTTACTTGAAAAAATCCTTAAAGTTTATATAGGCAATGTTTTCTATTACTTTTCCTACAAAAGTAGACATTAGGCACAGAAGTGTTCACTCTGAAATTCATTCTGAATATGAATTATTATTGTTCATGTCTTTTGGCTTTGATCGTATGAATACCTAAACACTGTGAAACATTTCAAAGCATTTCCTGTGCACTCCAACATTACATTTGGAACATTGTGTCCTGCATTTTTTCCACACAATGAACAGCGCACTTCTTTTGCTGGCTCTGCGTAATGATTTTTACCATCAAGTCGGATATGGTCTGGAATTCTTCTTGACAATGGCCTCATCCTACCTCTTGGTCTGCCAGGGCTGACAGCAGGTGTACGCCCCTGAGCAAGCAGCACAGTAACCAGAGCTCGTCTGACACCTAACAGATCTAATGGTTGCCTCAATCCTGCATCAGTAGCACGGTAAATGTGCCAGGTTTGCTGCACCGCAAGGTCAATGCAATACATAAACACTGGCCACCACCACTTCTTGGATCTGATAGAGATACGATACTTCTCAACATTTTGATCCATCCTGTCCACACCTCCCATTGTCTGGTTGTAATGCTTTATAAGGTATGGCTGCGGAAGGCGCACCCTAGCTTTTTCCTGCTTTGACCACCGTGTTGCTTGTTGCAATGGTTCAACTCCATGGCAATTTGACACCACATTCACTATATTGTTGTCATTCCACCTCACCACTATCAGACCTTTGTGTGCGTCATACCTTTTATCATAGTTTCCTCGTTGCGTTTTTCCCATGTCTTTTACATTTTTGACAGGACAATCTTCTATTCGGTTGGCACGGATGGTTCCTGTGCAAGATATTCCCATATCTGTAAGCCGGTCCACGAGCTTCAGGGAAGTAAATAGATTATCAAAAGTCAGATGGTATGCATCATCTTTCTGCAGCTCTGAAAGCAGGTCCATAACTACTGCTCCGCCCATTCCAAGGAAAAATTCTGGAAACAAAGTGATCCCTCGGAAGCATTAATCACAACAAAATAACATAAGAATTGCAGACTCGGTTTGATTGAGTCTGTACATGAGAGATAATGAATAAGTGCAACATCCCAGGATCATGGGTTTGGTGGCCTTTTGCCCCTTGATAGGGCTCAAATTGTAAAACATATCCAAGTGCTGTCGTTAACGCCCACATCTTATAACCGAACCTAATTGGTTTCCCACGAATAAACTGTTTAGCTCCGTGTCGCCCATAGTACGGGATCATGCTTTCGTCGATTGAAAGGTTTTTCTCTTTCAAGAAGTATAACAAGAAGCGCTCATTCAGCAGACATAGCAGTGGTCTTACTTTGCTAAACTTGTCCTCTCTGTCAAGATTGTTGTTATCGCAAAGATGTACATATCGCACCAATATGTCGAATCTGTCTCGCGGCATTGTACGAGCTATTGCCTCATTCCTTACGTCATCATCCCGGCTCCAGAACTGTCTCCGTCTTGGCACAGTGTTATAGCCTGATATAAGCAGAATTGCTAGGAAGATCCTAATTTCTTGGGGTGAAGTTGAAAACGAATGGCTGCCTTTTGAACCAGCATATCTTATACTCTGTTCAACAATCATGTTGATCACGTCATCATCAAAAAATAAGTTGAAGATGCCATCTGGTGTTTGCGGCCATCGACTTTTGTCTATATTTGAGCCATGCCAAGTGAATCTGTCTTTATCTTGCTCAGGTAGATCTTTATTTTCCCACTTCCTCTTTACTGGTGCAGGTCGTTTGGGACGCGGAGCTGGATCCCGTAGTGCAATTCTTACTTGAGGTCTTTTTGCAATATTTGCAGGCACTTCGTATTCATCTGTATCAGAAGAATCTGAAGAATGGTCAGTTTCCTGAAAAATAAAATATGATAAATATAAAAAATCTTATTCTCAACTGGATTTACTGTACATTATTTACTTACTTGCTTCGTATTTATTTATTTATCTATTTATTATTTATTTATTTATTTTATTTATTTATTTTATTTATTTATTACCAACTAGATCGGAGTCTGATGCTGAATCAACAACATGACGTCCATCTAGGCGAATAACTGTCGCTGTTGCTTGTTGGTCTAACTGACGTCCACTGAGGTTGTTGTAACCTACTTCTTCATCTTCACTTGCACTATCTTCATCTGTCAGTTCATCTACAGGAGGTGGTTGAACATGTATATCTGCCCTTTCAAAGTTACCTTCATCCTCAAGCATTGATATGATTTCATTTACTGTGTATCTTCTGTAAACAACAAAATATTTTCATAATGATAAAACGTACCCATTTGATCCTATTGTCTACTTTTGTAGACAAAATCTAAATTGACTGTCATAACACATTTTATACATATTTCTGAATTATAAAACAGGAATTGAGCAGAAATATAATTATACAATATAAAACAATCATACTTTATGATATAAAATAAAAACAATATAAAGTTTTACATACCTGTTTCTGCTAGCCATTTTCAATAATATTTTCAAGGCAATTTTTATCACATTCTTGTTGAAAACACACTGCAAATAACGTAGTGGTCTGCATTTTGTCTAGCAAAATAGTCCAATTAACGCTTATCATGACAACAAGTATAGAATAACAATGATAAACAAATGTGCGCTCATAATTAGGTCCTAGTGTACTGATAACTGCTAGTGTCTACAAAAGTAGACAACAGGCGCAAATGGGTTAAGTAACTAGGTTTTAAGAAATAATAATTATATTTTAGGAAATAACGTACCTTGATTGTATGCCTCTGTTCTTCCAGAATAATTTTTTGTTGTTGGTTAAGAAGCCCCAGAATGAAAAGCGTTGCAACACTTATAAAAAAATACAGCTTATAACCGCATATAAATAAATTGTCAATTTTGTCACCGATTTTGTTTCATTTATAGTATATTTCAGTGTTATCCTTTGCATATGTTTCCATTTAAAGGGCTTCCTTTGATATTTGTATGATTTACAAGATTGTAAACTGTTATGTGTTCATGTCTTTGGACTTCGGTGAAAGTTTATTTTATATTACATTTCAAATATATTCTTCTTTTCCATTTGCAATAAATATATATTTTGCATTAATAAACATAAATATGAATACTTACAAATATGCGAGGTTGATCAATGATCTATATTCTCCCGAATTAGTTGCTTAATTTTATCTATAATGTCGCTGCTTATAATTGTCCCGTGTATTTCACTTTTAGCTGCACCTAAATATTTCATGCAAATTTGGAAATATAGAATAATAACACACTGCTAAAATAAATGAATATTTTGTGTTGTTTTCATCACATTCTACACAACATTTTTATTCTTTTCGTTAATAATTGTTAATACCTTGTATCAGAATAGTATTACTTATTAAACTTGAATAACGTAATTATTTATAACTTGAAAATATTGTATTTTACTTATCTCTAGGGATCTTGTGCTAATTCGGATACACTCTTGATACAACTTACAATGTGTAAATAGGAGAATTAAACACTTTCATTCAACTTACCCATTTCGCTTAAAGAAATATATCACAGTAGCATTCAAGTAAACATACTTGTTGTACTATAATGGAAAATAAGTATCATTTGCACTTTTTTCTTTAAAATAGATCATTTTTATGTGCTTGATTAACGAAAAGCACAATTATGGATTTTTGTACTCAAAGTATCAAATTTTAATATAGATAATTAGTAATACCGCACATAACTACTAAACCGTAACCATTAACGTTGAAAGAAAGAAAATATAAACACTAAATATCATAAAGACAGTCTGCAATAAAGCAAGACAGACAGACGGTCAACCAGACCGTCGGTCTATGGAAATCATATAATTACTTGATTTTAATTAAACAATATGATATTGAAATGAAGTATATGGTGTATCTCTCATATCATTTTTAATGCAATAATTAATTTTCCCTATATGCACATATTTTTTTCATTATTTTAGGATATTGCGTCCTTGTATCATTTCGTTTTGTTAAATGCTTTCGAAACATAAAAAGTTCCCCCGTTCGCCTTTAGTCACCGAAAATAGATACTACATTAATGTTGATTTAAATAGATCGGATGTCAGATAAATCATTGCAAATAACACGCATAGTTTCACTTTCACAGTGATTCGAAATATAGGGTACTCGAAAATTGATTAAAAGGCGATATTACCGATGATAGGGACACTCGAGTATGTCATCGTCATTCACAGGCAATGGTAAGATTTAATTGAAACTGTATCATCCATTCTTCATCTTAAAATTTAATCATAGATAAAGTCTTGTTGCCCTGATCAATTGTTATAATATAAAAAGCTGGGTCAAGTAGTCACTGATTATGGGAAGACCGTCACAATTTCAACGATGTTACCATAATCCAATATATTCCTATATTCCTATTACTTGTTTATCTGTTTACAAGTATTATACACATACATAAATATATATGACCAAACGATCATATAGTCATTTATAAAATAGTATTTATAAATGATATCGTTAACGAGAAATGTTTAGAACAGTTCAACTATTAAAGACATATTAAATGTAATATGTCGTTAGTCACTGAAATGTCAGACCAGCGTTAAGAGACAAATTGTGTGTAAAAGATTGAACCAAATGTTAAAATACAGAACAGAAAATTACTAATTGATCAAGCTTTAATCAGTTTGTGTTCAATAATCTTATATTTTGATCATGTCTAAACAGACTGATACTTCAAGCACACATTTAAATTTGTTTTTCATACACATACTAAGATCTGCTTGGTCATTATAATGACATCATGTAAAATTTACCACTACCTTCATAGTCACTTATATGAGAAGGTAAACACTTACATGTTTCTCTCTCCGCAGGGGGCAGATATTATATAAACACAATAGTGACGGTTATCACTCAATTAGTTTGCAATAACCGAACCTGTTTGATAATAGTACACTAGTTCAAATACATGTTAAAGTTATATGCGTGTTGATATACAAACACAAATCAAAATGAGTGATTTTTCTGATAATCATACGCATATTGTTCTGTTCTTTTTTTCATAACAACTAAACGTTTATGAAACAGGAGAAGTTTTTTATATTTTATTCACACAATTATTGTTGCATATATAGCATTTCGGAAGAAAAGTTAAGTGTATTACCTTTTAATTTGTGAAATGAATATATATTGTATAGAGGGAATTGTTGATAAGTGATGTATTACTGTGTAATTTTCACTTTGTGTAATTCATAATATAATAATGATAAAAAAGCTTTAATTAAAGTAACTTACTTAAAAACAAACTCAATAATAATAATAATAATAATAATAATAATATTAATAATAATAATAATAATAATAATAATAATAATAATAATAATAATAATAATAATAATAAATTAAACATTAGACAAGTATTTACAATAGTTTTAGATAACCTTGGTTTTCTACACTATTCTTTTTACCATTCTATTTAATTTAACTGCAATTAGTATCACAAGGTAGGGATGTTTTCAGAAGTTATTAACTTTCAACTTGTTAAAAGATTACACATACATATGAAATCGGTTGACTTTTAATGGAAAATTGAAAACATTTTACGCATATATTAAGAATAACATAGTGTGGCTCAATGACGAGTTTCTAGCTGAGCGATTGCCTAGATTTCAACATAGATTCCATTGCTATTACGTCTCTCTGCATGTTTAACATATATTTGTTTTCAATGTACACACGTTTCATTAAATGTTTTGTTTCATTTATATTAAACTAATTCAATAACATGTATAGATAGTAAACAATTAACTTAGTATCATGTGTTATTATTATAATGATGAATAGACAATATAATAGCAACGTGTTATCTAGACCACATTGATACAAATCATCGCCTTATTTCCAGAGGGACGTAAGTTGCATTTAGTTACTTTCACGAAAAACGCATTTAAAGTTTTGATATGCTGTACAGCCTTTACCTCTAGGGCTAACGAGCTGAATTTTTGAAAGGATATTTGTCATATGCTTTTCAATAAGCATGTCCACTTTCAGACTTATCAGATAATTACTTTTCCTTATTTATTAAAAACATTTTTTGAAATTCCCCTGAAAATGAATTTTTGTGTTATAATTTTAGTTCCAAAACGCAACTTCGAGTTACGTCCATATGGAAATAAATTTAAGTCTCAAATCATATGTTACGACTTTCTGGAATGAATAATACATTTGAATTTTCTCCAGAATCTCACAAAATAGAAAACTGTTAGTTTAATTTTTTAAAAAATTGGTTTGCTGTCACACATCCCAGTAAGACTATATCTGATGGTCTCTACAACAAAGGTTTGAATCGCAATCGGAGACGCCGCATTCTGTTACAAGTCAGATTAGAAACAGATTTGGCACAAGCTCAATAATATTTGTACAGAAACAGCCAACCAAGATGACTGAAGATACTTTTGAAAAAAGCTGTAAACTTTAGGAGTTAAGGAAGAGTTTCTGTGGAGGACACAACGTTAATGGAGTTTCGTGTGAATTTAATGCTAATTTTCAAAAGTCGACCTAAACTCAATTTGTGAGTGACCTCCATAGGAAATTCGTTCTAAACTCTATTTACGTGTTTCCTACTAGATCCTATGTGTTGTGTTGCAAAGTCCAAACGTCCATCTTCATAACAGGAGCATAGAAAAAAGTAAAAATGATTTGAACAGTTTATTTGAACAGTTAATGGAACACAAAAAATACAGCATGGCTAAGGTTGCACAGAAATATATCACTATTACATATGATTTGGAAGTTTGATAAGAAAGAAATATGTCCAATTAATTATAGTACTAGGCAAACAGTTTTTATTACTTCTTATTACAATATTCAATCAATGAGGGTATAATATTATACTGTAGGTCCACATTCATTGACGTTTTTTAATGGAGAACCGTTATCAGAGAATGGTGTATTTATTAAAGCATTACTGCACTCAGGTTAAAAAGACTCTGACTGACAGCTAGATATAAATCTTGCCACTAGCAAAGTATTAAAGCCCAGTTATGTCAACCATTATTTACATTGAGAATAAAAAATTCACCTGTGTCTTAGCTGAAAACAACAACAATACATGTAGTTAACTGCTTATAAAAGAACCTTTAACATACATTCATCTCAACTGACTAAACACCTTTCAATTCACAATTTAAACTGAGTCATCACTTGACTTTCAATACCAAAAACCATAACAATAAGAATTTAAATGGTTTCTTATGCATAACAACATTGCTATTTATGACCAAATGATAACATTATGAACACCAACAGTAAACTTTATGAAAACTAAAACAACATATCATACTGTAATACAGATATCATACTTTAGAAACCCCTGTCTCAATATATTATCTGATGCACATACAGACTAACAATAACCTGATATTTCTCATAACCCCAACACAGTTCTCATAACCCTAACACAGTTCTCATAACCCCAACACAGTTCTCATAACCCTAACACACTTCTCATAACCCCAACAAATTTCTCATAACGCAAACACAGTTCTCATAACCCCAACACAGATCCCATCTAAGCTTGATTTCAGTTACTGCTTTTCAATCACAAGTTTGCAGCCCCTATAGAACTCCTGATCCATCGCTGGCATGTACTTGACAAATCTTTTTTTCTTATTTAGTGGAATCACGGGTACTTTTCTTAATTGCGGTGTACTGGGCAGT